AGTGGAATTGGCTTGCAGAGGCGGACGCCAGCTGTGGAGTATACTTATCAGATCGTCTTACAGAAGAAACTCTACGGAGACTAGTAATTAAGATAGACCCGTCCAGCACTTGGTTTTTAGGGCGTAGATTCACACTCGTTATCTATTGCCAATAGTGAACCAGTTTTGCCATCTTTATCGAGACAGAGCGTCTGTTAGTGTTGACCGAACAGATACTTTCGTGGCACCGCATATACCATCTGCTCGATCACTTTCTGTCTCTTATATTTGTTCGTGGACGTTCTACGAAGCCTGCCAAGCGTATCGCGTACAGCAATGGCGATCGTAGCAAGAGCACGTGTTGCTTCAATTAGGTTGCTGCGTGCTGACATGCTGCTTCAATTAGGTTGCATACAATCACGCGCACGATATAGATAAGAGCGTATAAATACACGTGCACAGTGTTCAGAGATACGTGGAGGTCATCATCGACTGTTCACTACGACTCCAATACGACTCACGCAGAAAACAGAAGACCACCGAAATCCGCGGAAGGAAGCATGAACCACACTCTACACATATATAGGGTTTCAGCAGATACTAGCTTTACATATCATGACATTTGTTTTCCCTGTGTAATAAGGTTCCTTCTCTACGCAGTCCTCGTTTGTACTAACTTGAGATTTGAATAAGGTACCAATAAGAACGTATAGCTGATACACAAGCCGGATGTCTGTACAGGAACTGTACATACCGGAATCAGTATACGACTCTGGTATGATTGAAGGAACGTTATCACGTCGAGTCGACGGCCAAATCCCACACGCTTGGTTCACGAACGGACGCCGAGTCGAGTTCAGTCAATGGGGCCCGCTAGAGACTGGATCAACTCGTCAAACACTCTTTGCAAGACAGGCAGCCCAGCAGCCACGAGTCAATTCGACACGCTCCCGTCAAGTACAATGGTAAAACGAAACTTTACACGATAAGATAACAAAGTATAGTTAAAATCGCAGCGTGATTCGGTTGGCAACGCCATGAGAGAGAGAGAAATGTTTATTGCGGCAGAAAAGCTGAGAGGTCGGCCTAAATTCATTTTCTGGTTTGCTACCCAGCGTTAGGAAAAGGGATGGTGTGGAAAAAAAAGGAGAGAGGTGTTGTTGATGATGATGAGGAAGGTGGCTTACAGTTGGTAGCAAAAGAATAAAATGCAGGTAAAAAAAAACACTTTAACTAGCATTACAAAAAAGCAAAAGGAAGGCGAGTACGGAGGAAATGACCTACATAGAGACGGTCACTGAGTCCTCTATTGTCGCTCATGTTGGCTCTCGTTGCCGGGAGAAATTTGAACGGAATTCGGAGAACACTCCAGGATCGACAACAACGAGTCAGCCCCGAGATATGCGGTACATGGACGGCATACCACTAATGCACGCAATGTTAGGCCTCATTAGCTCTCCCCGATACTACAAAGTTAATCAACACCATCTTCATTATCGGCGCTGCATATTCGTCCTGTATAGGCATAAAGCCCAGTGCATCTTATCGGGGCCAGCTATTGACAACGCAGGAATTCGATTGTTACACCGTCTCCTGCCAACAAAGCATTGTGATCAAGCAGATACGACAGCTGAGATAACGTCGTAGTGTCGATAATATTGGAGGAACTTGGCAATATGAGAGCACCGAGAGTCTTTCTGCTTATCTGGTGGAGGGCGTTGAATATTTGTGGTTTGCGCGGCATAAATGATTAATTGGCCTTCCACATGCACGATTGATTGATATGTGGGGTTTAACGTCCCAAAACCACTATTGATTATGAGAGACGCCGTAGTGGAGGGCTCCGGAAATTTCGACCACCTGGGGTTCTTTAACGTGCGCCCAAATCTGAGCACACGGGCCTACACCATTTCCGCCTCCATCGGAAATGCAGCCGCCGCAGCCGGGATTCGAGCCCGCGATCTGCGGGTCAGCAGCCGAGTACCTTAGCCACTAGACCACCGCGGCGGGGCTTCCACATGCACGAACACACACACACACACACACACACACACACACACACACACACACACACACACACACACACACACACACACAGTAATGTCACCATAAATGCGTCTTCCATTTTTTTCGTTGGGATTGAAGCGCCAGTCATAAAGTCAACTTAAAAAAAACTGTTCTTAATGCGTGCTACCTGCAAGGTAAAAAAAAAATCACTGTATGACGTGTTGAGAAAACGGCTAGTGATTTTTTTTAAAGTTGTCTGGACGCTATGTCCAGATATTGTCTGCCCCGCCACGGTGGTCTAGTGGCTAAGGTACTCGGCTGCTGACCCGCAGGTCGCGGGATCAAATCCCGGCTGTGGCGGCTGCATTTCCGATGGAGGCGGAAATGTTGTAGGCCCGTGTACTCAGATTTGGGTGCACGTTAAAGAACCCCAGGTGGTCGAAATTTCCGGAGCCCTCCACTACGGCGTCTCTCATAATCATATGGTGGTTTTGGGACGTTAAACCACACGAATCAATCAATGTACAGATATTGTCTATCTATCGGCGGCGAACAAATCATTCCGAACAAAGGTGAAGTAATAATGGTAGCAGGACAATCATTAATCGCAGGTCGTTAATCCGCGGCCAAATCGTTCGCCCTGGATATTCCCGCTAGATAAAGGATTGGTCAGAAACCTCGAAAGGCGCGGTGTCATCCGAAAGCATCGCTCGGCACTGCCGCGCACGAGCGTGCAGCTGAAAAAAAAAAAAACCCCCAGCCAGCATCCACAACTCGATAAATGTGCTGACAAGACCGGTAGGTAGGCTGTTGACGTGAAACCGCACATATATACACGAACAAAGCGTTGCGAAACTGATTTTTTTTTATTTAAAAATACCTTAAAGGCTCTATTACGGAGCGTAGAGTAAGGGGGGTACATAGGAAAGAATGCTAGTGGGATGATACTTCTGCCACAATACAAAGCAACTACAAAGCAAGGCAACTACAGAGCAACTAATAACTAATTTTCCACGCTCGTTTCGACGCAAGCCACAAATATCGTTAACACAGGAGTGGTATGAATCAACAAAACAGCGAGCGTGCACGTTCAAGCGACTAAGGCTGATTTGACCCCCCCCCCCCCCCCTTTTTTTTTTTTCACCCCTAGTACAGACTACCATGGCACATTAGGGACTCTTTCTCACAGCAAGATGGCAAGTTGGCCCAGTTGGATTACGTTCATAATTGAAAATTTCGTTGAAGCGCACTAAAAGACAGACGGACAGAAGAATCTCACAAGGACAGCGCTTGCTCTCACAACTGAAGGTTCGTAAGTCAGGAACGGTATTTAAAGCGGGTACATGGTGTTTCGCGCATGCGCATCAGAACAGGAGGCAACAGAAACCACTCGTGTCAGGATTTTAAAAAAAATTGAACATATTATGTGTCATTTATTATATTTTGCAAGTGCTAGGTGCCGAGATACGCGTATTCTTTATCATGCAGCACAATCGTAGCTTGGCTGACACAGTCGTGTCCCCTCTTTTGGATGCCGTAAGATTCCACTATCTCACGCGTTAGCCGATCCTTGTGTCGAAATAATATTTTTCTTTCTTGAAACACAGAGCTCTATAACTCAGTTAATGTGCTGACAAAAGCTGATGCAAGGCTTTGCCCACCCCATTCTTAAACTGCCGACCATCTTTCGCAGGTGTGTTATGGCAGTCGCACCGCGGTTGGAGCTGCCAGTTCGTATAACCGAGTCACACATTCAACTACACCGTGCGCAACCAAGCGAGCGAGATAGATAGGAGGCAGCATAACGACAGCTAACGCTTTGCCGGAAGTCAGCTGTGTGTCATCGCATAGCCCACACGTAGTATGAGCTACGAAACCGTTCGCACCTACTTTCTTTTATTTAGTTGTTTTATCCTTCGCCCGCATCCTTTACTTTGTCGCGCGAGACTCGACGGAGATGGCGTCAAAACAGACACGGAACTCGAGATAGCCCACTCGGGTAACGGTGCCCAAAATATTTAATAAAATATCGGTTGGGGGACGCAGCAGGGATTTCGACGGAATCTCTCGAGTCGGGCTAGTGACTCGACGACGGTTTATTATTGGCCTTAGGGCGAAACAGAGCGCGATGCGCCTACCCTGTCGGCTGAAATGTAAAGCAAACAGCCTACTCTGTTATTTCTCGTGTTGAATTACGACACCCCAGATATGTCGACCGAAATACAGCGTGGTAGCGTTCGAATGCGACCGACTAACAAAACGCGCAGTTTCTCGCATACACGTGAGAACGGACGGCTTAAGCGAACTCTATTACAAGGTTCCAAGTCTGAACCGAAGCTGCCGTGGATAAAATCGTCCCACGTCCACAGAAAGCAGAGGCTCGGTCAGGTCAATTCATGGTGCGCGTTGAAACCACGAACGTCGACAAAGGGGTCTGCGGTTTTGAATCAACACACAACGGTAACCCACTGCGAAGTTAATAACGCGAGAACAGAACGACGACAAAGAGACAAGAAGGACACGAGCGCTCTAATTGTCGTCGTTCTGTTCTCGCGCTATAACTACCGTAATGTCATACCAACTAGCCCAAACTGCAAAACCACTGCGAAGGCTACATCCTACATTACGGCGAACGACTGTTGAATGCTACGGAGCTGAAACCTGGAACACTGTGCTTATTATAGAAATAAAAACTACGCGAAACTTTAACCTTGCTTGTAAACGACTTTTTTCGTAGACTCATCTATCACTAAAACTTGAACAAGTATAAAACCTATAATTGTATGACCAATCGTGTGCGTGGCTAACCTTTATGTCCAGTGCTATCATGTTGAACCAGCGATTGCCACGTAGGTGTTGGTTTAAATATTCCGTACGTATTCTTTGTAATTAACGTCTGAATAAAAGGCATTTTGATTGGTTTCGATCCATCGACGTCGGCTGCAATGCGAGACATATTGCGAAACGCCCGCTGAAACAAATCAAACCTCGGGCCAAAGGGTCTCCAAACTCACCGGAGTCGACGTCCAGCTGCTCCTCGGTCTTGCACCGGTGCAGCTCGGCGCTGCGGCCGCCGCTACCGCTGTGATCGCTGCCCGTGGTCGCAGTGCCCGCGTCCTGGTCCAACTCGGCGTCGCTCGACATCGAGCGAAGCATGGACGCCGCGTCGTCCTCCTCGGAGTCCATCGACTCCGAGGCCTTCACGAGCAGCGCCATGTTCTCGTACGTCGCGGGCGACGGCGCAACAACGGGACTGGGCGCACCTCCAGCGTCGTCGGACCTCGCGGCGCGCGGCCTCGTCTCCAGCTTGCCGAACTCCACGTAATCCGGCTCGGGGCTCGAACCTTGGTCCTCTTCGCCCTCCTTGGACGAGCACGCTTCGTCGTCCAGGGCCACGGTATCGTAGATGACGTCGTATCCATCTTGGTCGTCCGTCGACTCGATGACCGGTGCGGTGGGTGGCGGAGGTGCCGCGCGCTGCGGTTGTGGGTATCCGTGAGGTCGCGTTGTCGGCGCAAGGGACGGAGTTAGCTGGGTGCTGGCCGGTCGGAAAGTGCTGAACGCAGGCGGAACGTCGTTTTGAGCCTTGGAAACAGCGGGTTCGCTTTGGCTCGGGCCATCATTTAACGGCGACGCGACGGTTGCAACAGGCTCGGCGCTGTCCGGTGTCGCTGGCGGATCGTTCTGAGCCAGCTGCGCAACGGCGGAAGGCGGCGGCCACTTGGCACGTTTAGGAGGCGGCGTCGGAGGCTTCCTTCGACGTCTCACCTCTTGCGTTTCAGCGGCAGCAGTCGGCGTGGTTGCCGTCGGGCCGCTGGACGCAGCAGCCGCTAAGCTTCTCTCGGAGCTCGCAGAGCGTGTAAAGCCACTCACAGCGATCACGGTGACGTACGGCTTTCCGTGCTCGTCGGTAGTGCCGTTCACAGACGCTGGCAGACCTTCCACGCTGTTGGAATCTTTCTCGCGCTTCAAGCTTGCCGCTTTTTCGCACATCGATGACGTAAGGGCGGCCGCCGCCTCGGGCAATCCGTTCGAAGTTCCGACGACGCCGTTGCTATTACGCGGACTGTCGCCATTTTCGGAGCCGGCTTTTCTGTCACCCGTGTTGTCTCGCGACGACGATCGCTTGACACGTTCAGCATCCGACAGGTACCTCTCGAAGTACTGCACCAGAAACTCCTCTTGCTCGAGTTCCTCTCGCAGTTGAGCGACGCGTTGTCTGTGCGTCGACAACAGGGTGCGCAGGTCCTCTTCCCATATCAGCGAAAGTTTCGAGTGCGGGAATCGCTTGGCCCAGTGGCGCTGCAAGTCATTGAAGGCTTCCATAGCGATCGCAGGGACTCTCTATCCACACGCCGTCACAGGCACACACACACACTAGGACTCGGATGAGATGACACACGTAAACACCGCCGAAAACATCGCACGAGCGAAGGGCGCGTCCCACACGAGAGCACAAAGTACACTACACGCTCCCTGCGGCGCACGCGTTCATCTGCGGCCGTTTCTCGCCCCGCACACGCGCGTCGCTGTCGACGAAGCTGGTGGCGCCTTCTGTACGTTAGACTTGAAAGCTGATCGAAAACGAAAACGTTTCTTCACTGCTGTGTTCGGCCGCGTTTGCTCGCTCTTTTCGGCAACAATGAGAATCGTTGCGTTTTGTTTACAGCGTTCACAGTAGTTCGCGCGTGTTCGAGCCTGTGGCGTTTGGCTGCCCTGCGCCTCCTGGTCTACCGATGCTTTCTGTGTCATGCTCGTTTGTTGTTCTGCCTTACTCACGTTCTGCCATTGTGACTTCCAGGACTTCCACAAGTCAGTGCAACAGCATAGTTACCTGCTTCAATCGTCGAACGAGGCAACATGAGTGCGAACGCCAGTTCCACTGCCGAAGCTATCGCGCTTGCAAGTAAGTTGCTATCTCAAATCAGTATCAACGACAAAGCGGAAGAGATCCAGAGGATCGTAAGCTTGTCTCCCGAAGCCAGACTCAGCAGCTCGGACGCGTCTGTATACTGTCACTTCGCAACTGCCCTGCTTGACAACCTGAGCGCTAATGCGTTGAGAAACGCCGAGGAAGAGTGCGCTTTTGATGCGCTCGTCTTGCGCTGCCCACCCGAGGACCTGCTTCTCGTGTTGACGTCCGCACTTCACCGCTTCGACAAGAGCAGCTTCAGACGTGACAAAGTGGTTTCGCTTCTCGACAAGTTTGTGCGTGGTGATTATCTGCGCAGGTTGCTAGTTGGACAGTGTCACCGAAACGTCGCGTGTTACTCCGAGGAGTGGTCGCGTTCGGCGTGCACGGTGCTGGTGTCGTTGCCCGAACGGGTCGCCAACGTTCGTGGCCAGAGTATTCCGAACTGTTTGACGAGGAACGGTTACTTCGTGTCCCTTTTCGACGGCATCTTCGAAGCGCTGAGCCACGCCCGCGATGAATTGGACCGCGGTGTCGACGTTCACGTAGACTTTTTCAGCCGGCTTCTTGGCCGAATGTGTCCCGTTGGGCAGTCAGAACTTCTCGCGAGGCACCTCGTTCCAAAGCTAGTGCGCCGTTGCGAGAGCGATTTCATTTTCCGGCGCGTCTGTGCCAAAGTTGTCACCTCTGTACGAGACGATTGCCCGGAGAGCATATCTGTCGTGCTGCTTTCCGCTCTTCGCGATTACAGGCAGGTCGACTGGTTTTTCACCGATTCCGTATGCACAGACAGCAGATTCCGTTTCTTTCTTGCCAAAAAATTGCCCTTGGCGCAAACGTATAGCTCGACAATGTTGCTGCAGAACCTTATCGGGTATCTTGCCTCGTCAGAGAGGAGGCGGCCCATATTTTACGAGCTGCTGAGTGGAGTGTTTGATTGCTGGGGAGACAAGGCAATGATGAAGTATCAGAGTGAGCAGGAACAGAAGTATCTTACGAGTGCGCTGATGATATCTGTGGGACACTTGAAGGCAAGTGGCATTGACGGAACCACCGCTGACGGCCTCTTGCCTAAGCTCCTGCACGGTGTACAGAGCCACCTCTCGTCGCCGGACGAATGGGTGCGATTGTACGGCATGGTGACAGCCGAACAATTTACTCCCATACTTCACCCAGATGGTCCGAAGCTTAAATTCGAATACAAACCCAATGACGATATCAAGTACCTGCTCTCGCTTACAGACATCTCGGTCAAGTCACCAGACCCGGACGACGCAAGTATGACGGAACCTGTCAGCGTAGAGGAAGAAACAGAAAAGACTGAGGTGGCCTCGGAGACCATTGATCTGGACAGTGACGACGATCTTGAGCCGTTCGACATGTCGCACGATACACCGCACAGTGTGAAAAAGCCTGTGTACCTACGAGACAGCATGGAGGGACTACTGGATCAAGAAAACAGAGAGTGGTTTGAATCTTGCTTGCAGACTGTCGCTAAATTGATTCAAACTTGCAGAGATGAGTTAGAAGATGTAGCTGAAGAATTGGCCAAAATACTTCTTTACCTCGACGACAAGTTCTGCTTGGATAGATTTGTACCATTGAGGCAGCATGCACTGATTACCTTGGCTGTAAAGAGTCCCAAGATTGTTGCTACTTACCTGACGGAGCAGTTCTACAGTGTGCACTTGAATATCAGACAGAGGCTGGACATACTGGAGGTTCTTGCGCTGGCCAGCAACCAACTTGCATCACCGCCCACCGCTGTGCATCCGGTAACCGAAAGAACAGTCTTGACCATGGCCAGTTCGCATTGGAACTCTGTCGTAACTGAGCGCCTGAAGGCAAAGACTCGAATCATCAGCAAGGGTGCCACAGCTGTTGCGACTCCCACTGAAAATCGCTTTTCTGACGTTGCCGGCTTCTTTTTCTACCCATTAATGAGGTACTATGACAGAAAGGAAAACACCTTCGACCTCCTCGGTGAGGACAGCTTTGTTCTGACGCGGCTCATCTACACGCTCGGCATTGTGCAAGACTCGGCTGCCAACTGCCCGAAAAGTGTCCACATGGCCCACTGCTTCATGGAGTTTTTGTCAGCCCTGAAGTACCACGCAGAGGCCTGCGTTCGTGATGCTGTTCTCTTTGCGCTGTCTGTGATATTGATCACTGTTCCGATCGGATTGCTGCTGTCAAATGACGAGCAGGAACTTGTCGAGATCCGAGAGTGGCTTCAGTACGTCATCGAGAGGGACCCTTCTGATGTCTGCAAGCTAAAAGCAGCCCAAGTTCTGCAGCTGCTTTGTTCACAAGTTAACAAGGAGCTCCCAGTTCCAGATAAATAAAGTACATAATTTTATTGCACTGCTCGCGTAAGTTTATTTTGAGAGTGTCGTTTTTTCACAGTGAACACGATGGAATTATATTTATTGATGCATGTTTTCTTTCTGCGACACTGTGAAACAGAGCTAATGTTTTTTTGTTCATGTGATTGATGTTTTACATTACAAATCTCTTCAAGCCACATTTGCTGCTGACAAATGCTTTGGGACGTCGGTTGTCACTTTGAAGCTCTCGTGATCTTCACTTCTGGTAGCTTGTATCCATGTGTTGCCCAGGGACCTGAAATGGATAGATGGTGAAACTTTGGTAAGAGCCCTGAAAGATGTGACTAGGTCACAGTGGTATCCTCTCACGTTGGGACGGGCAAGCTAAATGGTACCATGAAATTAAAAATTAGGTTACAGAGCTATTATCTCTTGAAATCACATACAGTAGTAGGTTATGAAAAGCAGCGATATCCCAGAACAACATGTGAACATTGGCCACCCGGGGTTCTGTCACGAGTCCCTTAAGCATGGTACGTATGAGTTCATGTGATGCCTGAATCGATTGATATGTGGGGTTTAACGTCTCAAAACCACCATATGATTATGAGAGACACCATAGTGGAGGGCTTCGAAAATTTCGCACACCTGGGGTTCTTTAACGTGCGCCCAAATCTGAGCACATGGGCCTACAGCAGCCGCCGCATATGCCTGAATGGAAATGTGGACAAGAATCGCACTCATGACCTCATGCTAAGCAACCTAACGGCATTGCCACTGTGTCACTTAGTTAAATAAACATGCTACGACGCCATATATGCTACTAAAATTTTCATTGAAAGCAACTTGAAACAGGAAGTGTAATTATGCGTGTTCTACACTGCATATCAAAATGTATAGCCTCAGTTTAATATCAATCTTTTTTTTTTTTCTCATCTAGCAATATCAATCTTCCAATTGGCATAGTACTGTAGCACCACATTCACCGAAATTCTATATTGACATAGTCATTGCCCTTTTCAATCTTTATCCATGATTTCTCAGCTAAAATGCTGTGTCAAGGCACATTTGCCTACAGCCTATTGAAAGGGTCTGGAATCATTTTCAATGTAATGACTGAGTGACCTGAGTATTGCAGCTGCTGTAACTATTTGCCCAATTATATAAGCATATGATGCAATTGGTCCTGCTACTAGCTAGCCGTGGATTTCAAAGTTACAAAAAATAAAACAAAAACATTGCCTCGTGAAGTTAATTCTGCAAAAACTTTCGAATCCCTCAGGTGTGAGCCAACTTGAAGGAATTTGTCGCAAGTTTTAATTTTTTATTTCTTTTCCCATCCCAACAAGCACAGTGAAAGCTAAGCACTAAATAACAGGGCACAAGGCTACACCATGCATACTTCATGATACGCGATCACTGTCTCTGGCGGGCGCAGATGTAACTACTATAAGATTTTTGCACATTGTAGTGTAAGTCACCTGGCATGCGGTGCCATCTTATAGTAAAAAGGTCATTCGATCCAAGTGCCGCCCATGATTTATACCAACTATCAGCCAAAATCCGCTGCATAATGCCCCACGAAAAGCGCAAGTACGAGCTTCTGTATAAACCGGACTGCTGTGGGCTTTATAATAGGATCAGTAGGAAGCTCGTGTAATGGGATAAAAAGGGGGAAAGAATTTATTAAAGTTCTGGTAGAGACAGCTGACAGTCATTGACATCTTGACGGGTGAATTTGTCAGCTAGTTGGGTGAACATATTATTGGGAAAACAGCACGGTAGACAAGGACACTAAAGGCACACACAGGCAGGCATGCACATGGGTGGGGAGGTGCATTGGGGCGGTTATCCCCCCTAGTAACTTAATACAGGGTGTGTGAAATCAGCCCAATACATTCACACAAGAGTGAGGCGTGCACTCAGGTGAACCTTTGCTCTGAAAGGGATACTCTGCGCACGCCTGTGGGCACACATCAGTGTTACATGTGGTTGTATGTGTGCCATTACTGTCCTCGCCTATCACGCTGTTTACTCTGGAATATAAAGTTGACAGTTTGTGTTCCCCATGCCTCAGCTAATGTTAAAATTATCCATTTGCCACCACAAAACGTGTAGTAAGGAAATGAAAAGCATCGAAAGCAGCACAAGTACGGAGCACTGAGTGAATTCTGCCAACTTACAGTTCATTTATGTTGTTAACACACGTGGTCCTCAGGAACTCTTCATGTGCGCACTGTATCGACTGTAGGTGCCACTTCGCCTGCTCTTCGAGTGTTGGTAGCGAGCCTGTAATGAAGAACATGTAAGTTGAGAAAAGAACAATGTAGCTGAAAGGAACTTTTATTCAACTTTTGTCTTTATGCACCCAGCAAAGTTAGTGTCCAATACAATGAAGAGTTAATGGCCACTAAGGGAGAATTCATGACTGCTGCATTAGATAAAAAGAATGTTTTCTGTAGCTTGCTGAAGATGAAAGACGCTCAGTACTGCCTAGAATTACAGTTATCACTTAATTTTCATGTTGTAAGTGTAATTGATGGCACTGTTAGCACTAGATTATGAGAAGTACAATGCACGTGACTGATTCCTTGGTTTTTTATTTTGCAGTAAGGTGATAAAACATCCTCTTCGGGCTATCATACATTATAGTCATCATCCTGCATAACTGGCCAAGTGTGCTCCTTATTAATGTGGCAATATGTGGCATAAAATAGGTAGAGTGTCTCAAACCAACATTATGTTCGAACTGCAAGAGTACTACAAATAGGAAAACATAGTACAAGCACTTTTCACTCATCAAACCGCTTTCATGTTATGCTTCTACGCAAAGAAGGGTTTAAAGAAGCCATGCCATTTCGTGTCTGCTACCTCCAACATTGTGGATGTCATAGGAAGTAAGTGAAATAATTTCAAGGTGCTGCTTACACACAACTTTTAGTCTTGGCGTCTGTATCACACGCTTAAGCATCGGGTCATGTGAGGACCATTCCGCTTACATTACAACAGTGTAATGTACTTTTATTACAAGTTAATGCTTTGTATCCCAGTGTCAGAATATGAGGACAAAACATCAGTGAAGTAGAATCAGGCTAGCCAAGTCATTGCCTTAAAACGTATTTGAAATGCTGGCACTGCTTCAGTATATAATGTAGACATCTATACGTGCCCGCTCCTGCGAACAAACAGCGGTAAGTGTGCAAAAAACAATGGTGTTTTTTAGAAGTCATCTGTGGATGGGATAGAGATGTATGCCTTCATTTTTTTTTGTATAATATCACTCTAAATTCGTTATAACTTTCAAATCATTTGTCTTTAGTACAGAAAAGAAAGGATTTATCTTGTTTTTTGTGAGGTTTCTTCCAGTGTAAGCAACCAAAGTTTTGCAAGTTGAGTTGTTGCTGTGATGTCCTTGTTTGTGGACGCCAGGCATAATGAATTTGTGTAGGAGGCTGATAGAATGTTGCTTGGTAGTAGGACCTGCTTCGTTGTCATACGGCTTTACACAAAACATTACAAGTTTATAGCTAAATACGCTCTTTAAAAATTATGTTTAGAATTTATTTGTCTGGTTCAAGATGTGGAATTTGTGATGAAGATATACATGCCATAGTTTTCTTGCTAACTAGTGGAAGCGAATGTTCTCATTTGGAGAGCAACAATAATTATCACATAGAAGCAAAGCCACCAACAAGCAAGGGCCTCTTGAACAATGCTACTGCTGATTATGCAAGCATTCAGTTTGTTGAACCAGGAACATATTGGTAATGACTAATGCTGAGAAAGACGATGCTAAACACATTAAGGTAGAGCTATGGACAAGCAAATGAGTCTTAGTTGATGATGATGATGGTGATGATGAAAGCTTTGGACATGAGGATAAACACACGTTTATCCAACACTCGTGAACGTTTATTATGATTATGAGGAGGAGGATGATGACGTTGGTGATGAATGCATTCAACTGATCATGAAGACATTGATTATTGTATATAGTGATGATGATAATTAGTAGTGCATTGAAATAGAACAGTCGGCAAAGCAAAGCTCCCTTGTATAATGGAGAAGAATGGTGGATCCAGCTGGTGTTTCCCGCATCCACATATCTGGAAACTATTCTAGAACAAAAAATATATTTTCCAATTTTTTTGTTTATTCTCACATTGATAGGTATGATTATTCTATATATGCAAAAAATATTAACTTGCACTACTGGATGACTTGAGAGATACAAAGGGTTAACTGGACAATTCTCGACATCCCTTTCGACAATGTGAACCAAATGCTTCTCACCTGTGACGCTGTGCAGCTTGCTGTTGTAGCACACCTCAGCACACACTGTAGCATTTGCAGACTCAGTATCCCGGTGCTGCCAGCTTCTTGCTGCCACCTCCAAGTCACCGAGTTCTGCTATGCATCTTCTCCACTGCAGCATCGAAGGATGACGTCAACGACTTTGCTTGTGACACAAGCTGCACAATCACATGTGAAAAGAATACTTGCAGTGATTAGAGTCTGTAGGCAGACATTTTTTTTATGTGGGGAAGCACCTATTTTAAATGTCCATTTTTCACTCTGTATTCTACAGAAAAAAAGGAATAATGAAAAATTTCAGGAAGGGGCTTGGGCCAGTGTGCCACACCCTGGATATGCCACTGGCAGTGATCAATAGTGGCGGCAGAGGTACAAAACGCTTCAGTGATACTTGGGCATAAATGTGTGTGTGTGTGTGTGTGTGTGTGTGTCGGTGGCAAACCAGCTTTTAAGCAACATACTTAAGTGCTGTTCGCGTGTTGTATTTGCTGTACTGTGCTTTGGACAAGGACATGCAGAAAGTACAATAACATGGTGGCAGTGAAGCTGAAAGAAGGGCAGGGATGGATACGAAAGTTTCAGACATGACAAGCACTCGGTAACATATCACCTCTTTTGTTTTTCGTCCTTTACCTCTTTTGCTCTTCACTGCCACCGTACTGCCGTATCAACCCACACAACTTACGGTACCTGTGAAGTACAGTAATGCCCGATTTTGCCAAACTCTCCCTACAATTTTGCAAGCATGCTAGTTAAAGCATTAAGGGTTCCATATGCCCAGCTGTTTATAATAGTACCTTTAGCTTAAGTTGCATTTCGTTCATTCGTAGAACTGTATTTCTTTAGTGGTAAACGAACTGAATAGGAAGCTTGCATAGCACACATTTCACCTACGAAAATTTTAATGGTAAACAGTTACTGATCAATCACAACTCACATTGAAGGTTGATGAATGAGCCATATTATTTCGCCTCTTTATACCTCAGCTCATGAAACAAATGTGACCAGCAGAGGATTAAGTATAAAATCATTGGAAGAGGTGCCTTGTGTGTGTCGTACAGCCCCTGTGCCCACAGCTGCAGGTGCCTTTTGTTAATTGTATTTCGCCCCAAACGTGCAGACACACGGGTAACTTGCCCATGTCATGGCCGTAAATATAAGTCTGCAGATTGTTAGGCACTACGGCACTTCGTGCGACTGCTACGTGATTCAATAAGTAATGTGCCCACTGAATATGCCAATTTTGCCTCATACTGTGGCTTCACTGCAATAGTATCAATATTGCCGTAAAGCCCCGCCGAAATTAAGCAAGAAGCTAGTATGAGTTCGTTGTTGTGAATGAATTTGCTGCGAAGCGATGTTGATTCTTAAGTTTTCTTTTATATCGATGATTATCAAAAACTGTTCATCTAACAATTTTTTTAGATTAGTCTTGCTTCATTTTCGAAGCGTTGAACTATTTTAGCTCGACTATGTTAGGCTACATGTAGTGTGAACTACGGACGGACGGACGGACAGGAGCTTCCGGGCCTTCTCCGGCGTGCCAGCTGGGCCCTGTTTGACGTCACTGCTGCTCGGGCATGGGCAGCACGGCTCACGATAAGCTACTCGAAACTGCTCAAGCTCCGCCAGTGTAGCTTACGCTGCGAAATTGACATAGGCCCGCGCAGTTTGTACGAGGGGAAAGTACGATGTTTAAAGATATTTTCAACGTGGGACACGTAAAGATATTTTAAACAGCGGAGCTGTTTAGGCTTGAATTTTGTCCATGTCGGGCGACCCCTCAAAACTATCATCATCATGAAATTAGGAATAGGGTTCATCATACTACAGCCATGTTTATGAAGGGGTGAGAAAGGTAAGGGAGTGAGGAGTGATGCGAGTGGGAGAGGGTAAAATAAAGCATAACCACGTATAGCGTATAGCAAGGGTGAGGAAAGGGGAGATGGTAAAGGATAGCGTAGTGATGTATGATATAGCAAAATGGAGAGAAAGAGGGTGAGGAGAAGCAACGAGGGGGCAAGAAACAGGGAGGGTAAGGGTATAAAGCCAAGTTAAGGATAATAGAAAAGTCAAGTTAAAACTGAAAGAAAAGTCGAGTCAGGCCTTCCAGCTTCACGGTTTCGTCAGTCTTCGCATCACTAATGCGAAGCAGGCCAGAGGTTTCTTTTTTCTTTTTAGTTCAGCTTACCTTCTAGTTGTCAAGAAACCCATCAAAGCTACAGAGGTCCTATAGCATCAACCAGAAACACTGAATTTTGGTGCCTTTCTTATATCTTGCAATGGATAAAGATCAAGATGATGGTATGAGTGAGGGAAATTGGTAGCAAATATTTTTGTTTGATCCATAACTGATATCGTGTTATTGCGCTCGTGAAATCCTCACCAGTGAATGGATGAAAGCTTCGTTCTCCTCTGCAGCGTCTGCCAGCAACACCAGGCACGCCATGTTGCAATATCTTTGCACGAACAACGTTGTCCTTATCAACTCGCACCCTGCATCTGTCCTTTCGTCATCATCACTGAGCACAGTACACCGATCAATGTCTTCAGCACTACGCACACGTTCGGTTTCACTTTTTGGTCGCTCCTGTGCAGGCATGCTGCTGAAACGGAGGGAGCCACCACTGTCGTCCTTGCGTTTTCTGAAAGTTTGATTAGATTTTTCCACGGGGACATCAAGTGCTTCGCCCAGCTCAACCTGAATCACCGGTGGCAGATCAAAAGAATTCAGAGCGTTCTGCTTTGAAACACCTTGGTCTGATCCTGTAGTTGCCTTGGGCTCGGGTGGCCTCAAGCACGTCTTACGCAGGGCGCTGAGCAGACTTTTTTTTCCAGAGGCCACTTCCTTACCTATGTTTAGTGATGAGCACGCATCACTGAACTTCGTCAACGCCCGCTGAAATTTCTTGGCGTACAGGTCGAACAGCACCTGGCTGTTAGACTGGCACGTCGCGACCTCCTTCGGTGACGTCGTAGCAGTGTCTCTCGCCTGCTGGCTCTTGAGGTGGCTGATGAGGGAGGGGGCCTGCATCGTCTGCGCCTGGTAGAACAGTCCCGCCGCGTCGAACCCCATGCCGGCGTCATAGTCCTGGAAAACGTTGACGTCGGCGTTGTGCCTATACGGTGTCGCGGTAGTGGAGGCGTACTCCTGGCCCTGCACTTCGTCGATGTCATTGAGGACGCGATTCAAGTCTGGCCTGGACACGTACTTCCTCAGGTTTCTCCTGGAGCTCCTGCTTGACGCCCTCCGCTTCCGTCTGCCATCCGCCGCCAGGTTCTCCTCCGAGATCCTGAGGCAATCGGCTACTGTGTACTGGAGCTCGGCGAGGCGCCTCAGACAGGCGTCGGGTCCCGCACCATCTGACGCGTCCTCCGCCGAATCGAAGTCCGATAGGAAGTCGCTGTCCGGTAGGCTCCGTTTTCCCGTCAGCTGCAGTATTGTCGACGCCAAGGGGGCGCACGTCGAAGAGTGGTTGGTCGTCTGCGACGACAGGGCCGAGTCGACGTCGCTCAGCGAGTCGGCCCTTTCGTGTTCCTTCTCCGTGGCTTGAAGTCGATGCATACCATCGTCGTCTTGGCAGGCGGCCTGTTCCTGTATCAAGTTCGTGCTCCGCGATGAACTCTTTTCGTCGTCAGCGGCGTTGTCGTCGTAGTCGACGTACTTGTCGAGCTCTTTGGGGCTCTCGTTGGACTGCTTGTTGATGACGGCCAGATCCTTGAGCCATGAGGCCTGTAGGTAGACGTTCACTAGACGCACGGCAGGGGGTATAGAATAGTTTACATGGACGTCCTGCATTGCCAGCTGCGAGAGAAAAAAAGAGTTACAGAATTTTTCACAGTGTCCATTAAATACCACGTGAAATAATGCAAAACTAGAAGTGTCAGATAAAATGATGCAGTGCAAAAAAGAATGAATAGTGAAAGCCAATGAAAGAATACAGTGACACTTCAAGTGTTCTTCAAATGTTCCTTTTCATTAGTTTTCAGTGAGCTGAGCATACACAAATGGAATTTGTAGTGAATGAACAAAAGTTCAGAAAGAATATGAAGAGGCTTTTTTTTTTTTCCACACTGTAAGGCAAACTCAAGTATTTGTTGCGTCTTGCAGCCCCTCAAGAATATTCTCCACCTGCATTGCGTGCGTTTGTTTTCTCGATATATGCATGCTCGTAACATTGGGCGTGCTACGCTGACAGCCACTGGCCGTTTCCGACTGGGAAGTAGCAGACGCGCAACAATAACGCAAGAAAAGCGCGCCAAATAGATGGCGATTATTGCTGTGTGGCAGAAAGATCCTCCAAACACACTTTTCATGTAGAGCTTGCGAGGCTTTAGACACAGGCCAAACACATTCGTAAGCCTTACGGAAACGGCACAGACGATCGGGTAACAATTGAAAGAGAAAACTGTCGGGCATCAGTTTGTAGGACAAAGCTACGTGGAAAATTTCTGACAAAATCTCTCAGTTGACAAAATTCGGCGTCCATCTACTTCGAGTTCTCGTTTATGTATTGAGACAGTTGACAGGAGCTCGGCGTTTTAGTCCTGACTTAACCCAAACATCTGAGTGCTGTTTGCCACCTTTTTCACCCTCGTGACTTACCCTTTCCTTAGAGGTAGCCGCCAGGAGCAGGAGTTGCGTTATTTCGGGCGTGAACTGACTCGCCAGCACTCTGAAATACAAGAACAGGCCATTGAAATGTTGAGAAGTGACAGTGAAAATTATTGAACATCAAGTGAACTTGACATTTTGAAAAGCCTGGCTTTCGTAGGAAAGTCTCCCTTTTTACCTGAATGTTCTGCAGCTTGGTCTGTAATTTAGAAAAATAATATAGAAAGGAGAGGGCGGTAACTTCAAATATATTTTCTATTTTTCTATATTTAGCTACCAAAGTTCACTCACAAGAAATGCGCAAACTTGGGTAGACCACACTTTACGTAAAGCTAGTTCCTGGCTCCCCAATGAAGCAAAAAGGCAATGCATATTGCCATTCAGTAAATTTTCTGATGTTACTTATAATTATTGCCTTTGTCTAAACAATACAAATTCGTTTACGAGTACGCGTGAGCATGTATTTCAAGGAATTCAGCGCTGTGTTCTCTATTCATATTACTCTTCAAGTCATGCTACGAAATGGTTTCATTTTTCTTCGTCGCATCTTTACAGCAGAACTTTTGCAGTTTACAAACAAAATACACTACAGAGAAGATTTTGAAGGAGTCATACTAAGTTAAAAGGGTTTATTGAAAATCTTTTATGATATATAATAACACGGCGAAAAGTGGGAACGTTGTTTCATGAAAAAGCGTTCGTATAGTTGGCTTTTTCTTGGTAAGAGTATCTGTGCAGAGAAGCACGCTTTAACGAGTTGTTTTACTCGTAGATAACGATCTGTTATATGCTTTGAGCACCGAACCAACAGCGCAAATCTAGAGAACGGCAGTAATTTAATCCAGTAGGTAATAATTAATCATCATAGACGGTAAGGCTTGCAAAAAATACACAAGGGAAGAATTCAGCCCTAACGCCACCGTGTGTGTTGTCTCGTTCTTATGCATTCTATCCGCGAAGGCACTGCTTATCTTGTTTTATGACGCACCCCGAATCCTTTTAGACATTTTCTCCGTTCGGCATAAACAACAACAACAAAAAATAACTTTGATCTCAGCCGACGTCAATTTCCCGTTCTTCCAACCAGTAGTACGTGCGTCGTCATAGCAACGGACATGCGTTGTGATGGTTTGTTCTCCTCTCCGGTCCACACCTCGGTTCGGAAGAGCCGTGAGTGGAGGGGCGGGCGCGCTTAGAGACATCGGAAGTTGGACGTCAAATCCTGCCAAGCAACATCCGTGCCGGCAATATGGTAAGAAATGTGGGCAACGCGGGCAGCCGCTTGCAGCACGGGGTAATCGGCGTGGGGGACACCGACGCGGCATGCTTGGCGCGGTATTTGCTTATATCGCCCGTGAGGCTTTGTTTAACCGCGTTCAACCACGGCTCTTTTTTTTTTTCACGAGAGAGAGAGAGAACTCTTTATTGAAATGCAGATAATTTAGCCGGCATGTAAAATTCGCTGACTTGCTACTCTGCGTTGGGAAGGGGATTGAAAGTACAAATAAGAAGAGAGAGAGAGAAAAAAAAAAGACAAATTGGGAATATAGATGACAGAAGAGAAAGAAATAAAGGAAAAGGCCACCTCCTTGACCAATGAATGAGGACGCGCGTTAATAGTTCTTTCGTGGTGTCTAGCTACAGCTACGGCTTGTCTAGCTGACCGATGCTGTCCAAGTACGCAAACAAAAGTTTCATAGCACGCCTCTGTAAAGTGGAGCAGGCTAAAGGTCCCAATACACAGTCAAGGGAGAAAGTTCTCTCGGTTATAGAATGCATGCAACGTTCATAAAGCGCACGCTCCTCAGCATACGCTCTACGCTCAAACCAATATATGTTCCACAGATTCGATGGAGCCACAGTTGTTGCAATACGGACTCGCTGACTGACCGAAGCGGTACCGTAGGCTGTCAACATAGGCACTGTTTGGACGCAGACGATGGTATAGCCTTTCCAGGTGGTGTGTGGTCACGTGTGGCCAGGAGCGATCGTAAACTTACCTCTCATCAAAGACGACGCAGCTGGCGAGGACACCGGGCATCTTCTGCAGCTCTTCGAGATGCGTGTAACCCTTGGCGTAGACGTGGGACGCCGCCTACGTGGCGATAGAAGAGCAACGCACGTTTCGTGCGAGACCGAAAGATTAACGCGCGAAACTGGCGTTCAACTAACGAGAAAATCGAGCGAGATGCGACATGCTCACAACTCTCCGTGGCACAAAAAGGCTACGAGAAAGGGCTGAGATGTCCTTTCGTGAAGGCTGAAGTGTCTGCGGTGCACGAGCACTTCACACTGCAGGGTGGAGAGCTAGGTTAGCTGGCATGGTTGCGCTTAACTAAAGGCCAACGTAACGAACACCGCAAATGGTTTGCCTGCTGTGCAAAAAAAATGAATTACTTAATTCCTTTATCGAGAAAATTGGGGGAAGTGAAGCTGGGAGTGTGCGTGGCTTTCTTTCTTACTTCCTTTGTTAACTTTTTTTATTTTTCTCATTGAGCAGTGCTTCCTCCTAACTTGAATTTCTTTGCTTCTTTCTAAATGCGCAGTGCTCCCTCCTAACTGTAACATTTCTTTCTTTCTTTCTTTTCCATTGCATTGTGCTCCCTCCTAACTTAAATTTCGTTTCTAAATGCGCGAATAGGACCTTCACTAACGTCCATAGCAGCGCAACGCTTCAGTTGCTAAAGGCAACAGCTACGGTCACGCGGAGAACAGCAAAACGTAACGTTAAAATGCAGCAACGAAATGTGGCAACGTGAAATGATAAGTGACCCCACAGGTGAGCGTTTACGTCGCCGTAAAAAGAAATAAAAACGTCAGGTCGCCGACAAACTCGCGATCAACAGAGAGCTTCGATCATCGAAAAACGGCCTACACAATTACACGTTTTGAGTGGCAGGCTTTCGTTGGCCTAATTTCTGTACACCTGCATTTCTGTACGCTCGCCGGCGCCGGGTTTTGCCTGAACAATGCCGCCACCGAGACCCGCAACTCCTAAATAAGCTTCGCTTAGAAATGCGCTCGTTGTGGAAGAACACAGCTGCTTACCTCCGGCAAGTTCAGCGTCGGCACGGCTTGGAAAAGATTGGACAGCCGGTCTTTCCGACCACAGCACACGGGAAGGCAGGAGTTGCAGAACTCTCGCACCCGTTCGCCGAATGGTTCTCCGCTGGAACACACCTGCATTGCGCGAAACACGGGCAACGTTGTCAGCAAGTCTAAATCCGCTCCACTTCCGAGGTGGCGTGTAGAATTGCAACGCTAATCTGGATTAGTTCAGCAACGGTAAACGGTCTTTCACGAGCTTTGACTGATTTCATTTGCTTTTGTACACAAAATGACCCGCGTTACCGCGCCCTTATCTTTTGCTGATATACCAGCGCGTACAACACGTAGTACAGACGCTTTGAACCTTGTACCCTTCAGGTCTCGTTTGGATTGTTTCAAATTCTCTTTTTTTCCGCGTGTGGTGGAAGTTTAGAACAAGCTTGATGGTGCATTGCGTAGACTGAACACTGCAGAGAAAAAAAATTTATGTGTTAGTCACATGAATTTGTGCGCACTATTGTTTGTTTCTGTGCTTTCGTTGATTTTTCTGTACCCGCACCTGCAATGTCCAGGCATGGGACAGCAGTACTTGTAAATAAATAAAATATAAAACGAGAAGCTTCAAAAAAAGAAAAAAAAGTGAGCCTCAAATGTCTCGAAATGAAATTTCTCCCTGAGACCGCTGAGTCGGTTCATTTTGACAAAAATGTGAAGCGAAATGCTCGAAGACTACGACATTCAAATGGAAGTACACACACATACTCACAGGGCCTCATTTTTCAAATTTTACGGATAGACATTCTAGTTTTTGTGAAGTTACCATCGTATTCCAGTCCTTCGTCTCAGAATATACTCAACCAACAATACCCGTCATTTATTCTAAAGTTAACCTAACTTCCTGTAACTTCTTTACTTCGTCTCGCAATTTACCCCTTTAGTTTTTGGTGCATAAAGAAGTTTTTTAATGATGTTTTTTTTTGCGTGTCATTTCCCTACGATGGTGACTTTAATATATTGGTATTTAGTGGCGTGTCGCCGGACAACCTAACAGCGCGAATGTTAAATTTTTACGGAATCAAAACATACCAGGCGCGAAAGAAGCGCTTCACGTTAAAATCGTGCATTAGACCCCGGGCGTAACCTTTATCTTTTGTTCTATTTCCGCCTCACTATAAACACATTCCACATTTTCACTATAAAATGTGAAAGGAAAAAGTAAGGCGAGCGTGAAAACTATTTGGGGATGAAACTGGGATTTCAACCACCGGCAACGTCAACGAGCGCTGAGGATCTGAGGCAAGAAAAGTAATGTTGGTTCGTTCGGATAAGACTGGGTGCGTATTCACCGGGACTAGATAAACTGAAGCAACACTCACTTCCTTCATGTCTGCTAGTCCCTTGTGGTAAAACCGGAGAAGTCTGACGAACAAGTCCATCTGCTGCTGGAGGACGTAATTCGACAGGTTTTTGGGTCCTCCAAGGATCTGCGGTCGAAAAGTAAGGTTTTGAGTCGAATCAATTACCTCATTTAACAACCCAGGTCAACAACTGCAAGTCCGATGCGTTGGTGACGCTTCATTTATAGCATTAACACACTGCAGCGCACCAAACTCTAGGACGGCAGGAAATATTGACACACCAACAGAACAAACGTTTGTTACGTCAATATGTCTTCAGCCTTGGTGTGCTCTATGGCTTGTGTTGGCTTGAGGTGCAAACACAAAACAGTTCACACGCTGTCAGGGGTTCCATAGGAATGGAGGGGCACCGGAGTTTTCTTTATATTTTGTAGGCGGCTTCTTACTGTTCGTTGGGGCTGACCAGCGCTGACAACGGGACGAAGGCGTACAACACACAGCGCTGTTTTACGTTTTTCGTCCCGTTGTCTACATGCGCTGCTATCCCACAATTAACGTTCGCGAACCAACTGGCCGACATAAAAATACTTGTCCCTCATTTCGTAGTAAAGGAATAAAAACATGTGAATACAGTCAACAACATATAAGTAAAGCAATATTGTGTGATTACGGAGATTTTATATACACTTTGCAAATTAAATAACGTGGTTTGGCCACGTAAATCCCAGGTTATTATTATTATTATTATTATTATTATTATTATTATTATTATTATTATTATTATTATTATTATTATTATTATTATTAAAAAATTCTCTCAACAAAACAATTTCTCGACCACCTTCACGAGCTAAAACTGCTCAGCGTTCGAATGCTAACGAGATGTCATACAAAAGTGTGTACACAACGCCGTGCGTATCTGCGGAAAGTCGCTGGACCATATGGCCGATAGGGGAGCGATAACCAAGGTAAGGCTATCAGCAGGAAGCGATGCATAAAGCAAAAGCAGCATCAGCCACAGAAAAAAAAAAAACGCGGACCGAAAAGCAGCAAAGCTGGTATGTCTATCTGCACGCAAAACAAGAGTTGATTGTGTCTTCTCGTGGCGCCGAGACTAGCTGAGCATTAACACGTCGTACAAAAAACCACGTCAACTGTTCTACCACGCGACGGAATAGCCAAAATTTATGGGCGTGAAGTGTCAGCAATGTTTTTACGTCAGTGTTTCCGACATCCGAGTCACTTAGTATAACCAAGCGATGGTGATACAGTGGAAAATTACCAATGCACGAGGTGGATTTTAAAGGCGTGTGATATTTGTCACTGCGTGCACAAGGAGTGACTTCACCATACAGCTACAGAACAAAAACTCACAGTGTCCCTAATGTAGTGACCTATATGACTGGATTGCGCAAACTATTTTCTTTATCTTATCAGCCGATTTCATTCATCACTCCTGCCCAGCCTCACTTCAAAAACTTTTTGCCTCAAGGATCGTAAAACCTTTTACCAAGCTACGATGTCACGAGATGACGTCGTCATGTGACGGTACGTTACGTGATGTCACATATTTTGGTGATTTGCGAGGCCACATATTGATATGTGGGGTTCAACTTCCCAAAACCACCATATGATTATTAGAGACGTCGTAGTGGAGGGCCCCGGAAATTACGACCACCTGGGGTTCTTTAACGTGCACCCAACTCTGAGCACACGTGCCTACAGCATTTCCGCCTCCATCGGAAATGCAGCCGCCGCAGCCGGGATTCGATTCCATGACTTGGGGGTAAACATCCGAGTATTTTGGCCACTAGACCACCGCGGTGGGGTTTTTGTGAGGCCATGATGAGATTATTGCGTGATTTTTTTTTTTTTAAAGATCACTCGAGTGTTGACGCCGCTGACCGGGAACGCCGGTTAATTTTCGAGGCCGCAAAGGCTTCCATCTTAAGATACGGCAGACCTACGTGCTCCTTCATGTGATTTATTCAAGTGCTGTCATTTTAAAGAATTCTATCTGTGGAAAGGAGTAGCCGTTGCTATACAATAGCGCTGAAGATATCCTAAACGATGCGTTGTTATAAATAAAACGTCACACTAGTGTACTTACGACGATGTAGTTGTCGAGCACTCGCACGGCGACCTTGTTCTCCTTCAGTTCGATAGCCCGAGGCGTGTCGAAGCACGAGTTGAAGAAGTGCACCACGCCCACCAGCTGGCAGCTCAGGTCGCACTTCTGCTCCAGCGCCATCTGCGAACGCGCCCGCGGTATCAGACAAGAGCGAGCCTGGTGTTCGACACTGGCCGACGCCATAGAATTCCCCACTGGCATCTCTTGCAACCACAGGCGTGCGCTGGGTTCTCCATTGGGGAGCTGCGGTAAGTCCGCCGTAAAACAAGCTTTGAAATGCATGCATGACGGCGCAGCGCGCTCGCTCGCTCCTTCCATCGCACGACCGTGGCACAGCGACTGAACAAGACGCTGGACCGGCGTGGCAGAGAAAGCAGATGGAGCGGCGATCGCGTGGTGAGTCACGTGAACACGGCTGACGAGGCATGCATCGGGCGCCCAGCCGTATCGTCTTATGGAAGACAGAAATCAGGTGTATCTCTTCCTTTCTTCAAGAACCACTATTACCACCACACTGACATGATAAGCCCCCCCCCCCCCCTCCGAAGGAGAACCCCGTGCACGTTAATGAAGATACACAAGTGTCTTAGATACTCGTTGTCTATCTTGTGATCGCGATAAGTCTCGCAAGAAATGTATCAGTGTCATTATTTTTATGCACGTTTGAATGTATCGGCTGTCTTGAGATACTGCAATCGCAACACCACCCGCTGAAATGCCTAATAAATGTTGACTCAAGCTAATGCTGATGTCCCTGAGCCGCCAGATTTGAACTAAAGGCAGTGAGATTACTTTATCTTTCCGCTGGAATTTTTAAGCAAGGGTGGGTGATAAGCTCTGAGCACTTTATTGGTGGAGCGGAGTCACGCGGTATACCGCTCACGTCTTCCCCACAGAAAAATGGGAAAGTGAGAAGGTGGAAAATTGCGGACGGACGGTTGGGGGGGGGGGGGGTTCGCAGGCAAGGCGAAAATTCATCTGGCAATATTGTAAAAAATATTGTAATATAAATTGTGTATATTTTCAGAACGCATGTCACGAGGTTGCATTTTACAAACATATGTAGGCTACAAGAAAAAAAAAACAATCGAGGTTAAAACTGGCATGTCGGCTCAGCCGACATGCCAGTTCAGGTAAGAAGTGTCAAGGGGAGGGGTCAGGAAAGAAGTGAGGGGAGAAGTTCAGATAAGAAGAGTGAGGAGGGGAGAAGTTCAGGTAAGAAGTGACAAGGGGAGGGGGGGGGGGAAGGGGTCTGGCATCGTGCCTAAAGCCCCTATATTTCGTGGCTTTTAATTGTGCCGAAAGCTTTGTAATATTGTCTCGTGGGCCCTAGGTAGCTCACCCCTGGTTTAGATGACGATGATGACGACTTCAGAAGTGTTGCCCGTAGTGAGCTAAGAAAGTCTGACGAAGAATGCAGTATCATATATAAATGTAATAATTCAATAGATGCCCAATGCTAAAAAGAAAATACAAGGGCATTAGTCCAGCTATGTTACACACCGCAAATTCTGTTAGCTATTTGGTCTGTAAAAACGCCGATTTGTTGAAATGCACAATTTAAACGGCAGTGCAAAGACTGCAGATTAATTATTATTCAACTGGGAAGTCAAATGCGCCTTAAATGCGTTGCGTGCTCGCCGTGATAGCTCAGCAGGTGCAATAAAGAAAAAAAAAAAGCCTTGGAGATAAAGTGTCACGCAGCTATAGGCTCCAGATCACGGGTTCAATCTCGTGCCACAGCATTTCGATGGGGGTGAATCGCAAGAAACCCCAACGCAACGAAATTTAGGCGCACGTTAACTAACCTCAAGTTGTCAGAAAAAGTTGTGTCGTATACCCCATTATTATTATTATTATTATTATTATTATTATTATTATTATTATTATTATTATTATTATTATTATTGAAAACTTATTGCAAATTTCAGGCCACGTGCTGTGGTATAATATTTGGCTCGCGTGTTCTCTGGAGCCTCGACTACCGATTGGCAGCGTTTTCTGCCCATGCTCAGAAAGCGTTGCAGGGCGACTTTAAGGAGATACGTACGATAGTAATGTGCCAAAAACATTGTCAAGAACTAGTAGAGAAAGACGTCATTTTAGAGTATTTTCCCCTAGCGCACGTCACAAAAAATACCAGAGCGAACCACGCTGTCATTTGCTTACAGTGGCTCGAAACCGCTGTGGAACTGTTTTGCAAAATCACTTTTACCGCAGTGAAACAAAGGCACGGGCAGCAATATATTCTCACTTACATTAGCCGGATGAAAGAAGACGATGGCGTCACTCGGGTCATCTTCTTCTTTGGTGCAAAGGTCGCGATCGTACACAAGAAACATGCGATCGTTGAAACTGAAAGAGAGAGGGCGAAAAATAAATAAATAAATAAATAACCAAAACTCGTTTCTGTTGAAACTTGCGAAACGCAGAAAGAGGCAAGGGCCTATGGACGCTTCCCCGGAGTGTACATCAAGCAAACTCGGTTTAACTCGCCCTTCCCAACTATCCCTTCTCTCTAATCTACCTTTTAAGATTGAGAGAACGCGTACACAAAGTCCCACTTCGCAGTCATCATAACACGTCAAGTTTATAATCGCCGGTGCAAGTTCGTTGCCTTCCAAGTTGAATAGCGCTTTCGTCTCCTTCACCAAGGACGACCTCTCAGGTCGACGTTCCAGAATGGTGTTTGCCGTCAAAGGTCTCTTCTATACGCGAGTTAGAGCGGCTGCTAGAGATGTCCTCTGCGCATTGTAGCGAGGCATCAACGAAAATGATAGGCTTGTACGAGTGTTCCTCAAAGCGGCTCTGCAATACTCCTTGAAGCTGGCGATAGTTGCTTCCGACTTGTAGTCAAGGTTACAAATCGGCTGTCTTCTTTTCGGTACTAAGAGCGCAACGACGAGTGGGAGGAATATGGCCGCTGCTCACCAGTGTGTCTCGCCGGCCGCGCCTTTGTCCTCCAGGAGTGCGGCGGTGGCCGGGTGGTGCCTCCTGTTTCGCAGCCAGTCGGCGTGCTTCCAGCGGTGCAGGATGTCCCATTTCCAGGGAATGGACAACGAGGCCACGGCGTCCTCCACTGCGAAAGTGGAGGTTTGATTATGTGTGTTATACATATATCACTTTAAGTGCGGTGAGGAAAGAAGAGGAACTTATAGAATGTCCATTTTCTTTGTTAGGCACAATTTAACTAAAGCAACAGACAGTGAAGTCTAGGAAAGTATATGGGGCATAGTCTTAACTGCAGTGTACTATTTACGACGCAGAACGAAAGAGAGAGAAAGAGACAGAGATGCAAGGAAAGGCAGGGAGGTTAACCAGACGCACGTCCGGTTTGCTACCCTGCCCTGGGGAAGGGATGAAGGGATGAAAAAAGGTTGGAGAGAGAGAAAAAAAGATGCACACAATCACGAGCACACTCGGGGAAGCACACGCAGTCTACACAGGCGGTCGCTCAGGTTTGTTGTCTTCAAGTAATGTAGGATCACTTTAGTCGCTTTCTGCGCAATCGAGGCAGACGCCCAAGGTCCCAGAATCTTCTGCACACAGAATGGTCTTGAGTCCAGTTGGTTCAAAACCATCCGGAGCTGGCATCGTTCCGTGTTGTAGCAAGCGCAGCTGCACAGGACGTGCTCGATAGTCTATTCAGCTCCGCAGGAGTCGCATGTATAGAGGTGTCTGCCATACCGACGCGAAAGGAGTACACCTTTGTGAATGCAACACCCAACCGAAGGCGGCAATGTGCAGAAGTTAAAGCGGACGAAAATGAAACTTGGAGCCGACAGGAACCATATCTTCATCTTTCGGATGGGAGGCATGCTCTTTGGTGTAGTCGGTTAATGGGTGCAATGAAATTTTAAACTGCGCAAGGGATTATATTAGCTAGAGTCTAACGTCCCGAAGGCACGATATGTTTACGAGATACGCCGTAGTGGAGTACCCCGATAATGTTTAACATGTGGCGTTCTTTAACGCTCACTGACATCGCACATGATTAAAAATATATTCCGACTTAACAAAACAGTATATAACAAAAAACTACACAGACTTTTCGCCACCTATGCGGCTGGCATCCTCAACATGCAGATATAGTATGCATACTGAGTATGTATACTGAGAAGGCCGTCGTCCTACGCGTTTCACCCAGTCGGACGGACGAAAACCATTCGTACACATTTGGTCACAAGTGCGCGTAATTGCATTGTTAATAATCACGGCTCACTACAGTGCACTTACTCTTTACTTGAGCGATTGTTATAGGGCCTGTCACCAAACGTGTTAGCTCAGCGGATAAGCTGTCTCGCTGCAGTTACTCGAGTGCGCGTATTCTATCTCGAGGACGGCGGCCGCATTTCAATTGGAAGGCGAAAGGCGGGAGAACACCTGCACGTACTTAAATTTAGGTGCACGTTAAAGAACCCCACGCAGTCGAAACCAATCCGCAGGCTTCACAATAAAGAGTGCATCGCAATATTATTGGGGCTTTGACGCCAAACCTAAGTGCTCAATTAACTACCCTTTGAAATAATTACTCATAGACTAGTGGCAGTAAGCGGTGTGCATAGGACGTCTTGTGTCTCGCCTAGTAACATTCTGTTTCAATGAAATGAACTTCAACTAACTCGCCAAACTAACGTCTTGATTAGAGAAATGATTAATCATCAGAACAAGCGTAGTTTCTGTGCATTGTATATTGTTACTGTTATATCACTGCGTTGCTCCGATGTGTGTCATGTAGAGGAGGCTCCGTTTCAGAGGGAGACTCTCCTCTGGGTCATGTAATTTCGTCGATTTGGTTTGAAAAGCACCCCCCCCCCCCCCCCCGTGCGTCCCTCCGTCGTTCTCCAACTTGAATACTATAGAGCGATAAAAACGAGAACGAGAGAGGAAAGACAGATTACAGCGCTCAGATAAAAGCACACCAACTCACCCAACTGAACGTTTTGATGCCACCCCCCTCTTTCACCCGATTTTACATGAAACAATCAATTCCGAATTTGAAGGAGGCATACTTATTTATATGAACGTTTATTTTGTCAGGAACAACACAGACTCACACACGCACGCACAGTTGATGCGTATTACGAAACCACATTATTTCGAAAGCAACGTGCGAACGCTTTTATGGCATTGCAGGCACAGGAATGAAAACGCCACAACAGCAAAAAAAAAAAAAAAAGATGGAACGACAGAGTTGTGTGGCGTGCATAGACAAAACGGCGTAGTTGCTTATGCGCAGCTGCGTCAATGCACGCGAATAAAATAACGTGCCAAAGAGATTGTCTGAACTGTAGAAGGCGTATGTAGCTACGTATACACAAGTGCCGTATAGTCACACAACAAATCTCAAAAAAAAAAAAAGAAAAACACGTGCGCAAGTTCTTCCCGATATTTTAACAAGAAAACACGAGAAGCCCCAGCATAAAAGAGTAAACTACACAGGCACGTGGAAGTAAAGCATGCTTATAAAAGCAACGCGTAATTAAAAAAAATTGCAAATATAAGTTCAGCTGGTTAACTGATACACGCATCTGCAGGAATATGACCCTTTTACATGCATACAATTTATACATACGATTGATTGCAAGACCGACTAATTAATTAGAGCAAACAAACAATGCCTTACCTGAACGCCCTGACAACTCTCGTCTCGGGCTCATTATCAGAACGCAACCACCACGTCACGCGTTATACGAATACTGACACAACGAGAAACATGCCAATAACGTTCGACGCACGGCGCTTTCCTAGTAACGTACCGAACATCATGCCGTCCGGAAATCTGTGACCCATCGTTCGAGCATGTCGAATCCACAGTGCTTCACAGGTGACAATGGAAAAATAAATAACAACAAAACAGGAACGTCGTCACGATACGCACTGCACGGGCTGTTTGTACTCGCCGGCTAAGCTTAACCGGTGTTGCTTGGAGGTGGACGCGCGTAATCGTGTCGAACGCAACAGGCGAGCCCGCTCGCGTGTATATCGACTAGCGGCGGCAGCAGGAAACGACGATAACGCTGCGCCACATTATCTAATCCTCGGCGTTTGTTTTAATTGTCTGTAAGTCGAGAGCAGGCGAGCGTGCGAACGGCCCCTCAAATCGCGCGTTGCCCTCAAGGAGGTTTAATGTCCCAAACGATGCCCCCCCCCCCTTTTTGACGGTAACGGTTGAAATTCTCGTTTTCCAATTTCAGCTGTGGTAGGTTGAATAATGAAGGCCGGTCAAACTGGTTGACACCAGGTCTTAGGTATTGATTTAGCGTAATGCAAGCACGATTAAATGCAAACTGTTGTAAAATTAAGAGCTGTTGTAGCATCAATCAATCAGTCAATCCTGTGAGGAGATGTTAGGCAAGGCAGTACTGTTATTCTAACAGAGATAACGACGCAATCGATCGATAGATTAATTAATCAATCAATTAATCAATCAACTGATCGATCAATCGATCAACCTAATTGCCGTCAAATTTTTCTTCTGTGATACGCTATGTACTGTTTCCGCACGGCAGGCAGTACTGCCATTCTGAAAGAGATAACGAGGCGCTCAATCAGACAAATCTTCCTGCATGTAATGAGAGGTTATACACCTTACCGCACAACAAGCTATATACGCTGTTATTCCGACAGAGAGAGAGAGAGAGAGAGAGAGAGAGAGAGAGAGAGAGAGAGAGAGAGAGAGAGAGACGGCAACCAATCAATAAAAACCGATGAGTGACCTGATCTAGGTTGATTCCACACAACGAGAGCAGACAATCTTGAAATCTTCCTGCCTGTCCCAGCAGACAGGCAGGAAGATTTCAAGCCAAGATGTCCCGAACAAGGCAAAAGTTGCATATATGAAATACCCCTCACGAAGGCAAGCCCATTTCCCAGAACAGTCAAGTATGGTGGCATTTTTTATTCGAACTTTGTTAATCTGCTCCAGGTCGTCATGTCACTTTTCTATGAATGTCAGCCGCACGAAGACTTGCATATATGTGAGTCAGTCCAACTCGTATCTGAAGACAATACAACTCAGCCCTGAACTCTGGTTCATGATGGGAGGTCTGCAGTAGTTAATGTAGGAAATCGTGTGTGGCGCCGACATAAATATGAAGAAGAAGAATAGTGGGGTCGAGGCAGGACGGATGGACTGGGTTTTGGAAGTATTAGAATAAAGAGAGAGACAACGGTGTGTTTTGCCATGGCGACGGCGGCTCGCCATTTTCTCAATTTAGTGCCGAAACCCGGGAGAAAGGGCCTTTGTCACGGACGGCCATTTTTGGCGACACCGAGTCACGGCAATTAACGGGCGCCGTACTCCCCGACTGACCGTGAGAACAGCGGCGCATGAAAGGGAGCCGAGAAGTGCAGAATGGGGTGCTCTTCTTAGAACGTCGCCGCCGACAGTTGATCTTTTTGTAATTGTGGTGGCGTCTGCAAGGTCGTAGAAGGCCGCGGTATACTCCGAACAAAGATTAGACTACGAGACGCAGCGGCTGAGAGCCAAAAGGTGGACCGTTCCCACGGGGAAAAGCGTGGAAAACGCTCTGGTGGCCAAACCGTATGACAACAACCCGACAGGTTGTCACTCTCGCTAGTTGAGGGCCCTCTCCCAATTAAAAAGGGGTGGGGTCAAAATATTTTTGGGGCGGAGTTTCCCATCAATTAAACGCGCATGATTGGACCCAGGTAGAGGTCTCTTGTCCCCAAGGAAGAGAGCGAGGAGACACGAGGGGGATTTAAGCGCAGGGTTTTGCCCTGCTAGGCAGACTAGTCGCTGACCAAGATGGTGTAGAAACAGATCAACAAGCATCTCTTCTAGAAGTTTTTAGTGTGGCTCTGTATCGGCTGGCCACCTAAACTTAGCCGTTCGTCTAGTTGTGACGCGATATTAACGTCTGCAACGTAGACATCGGGACTTCGCCTCGAGTTAGCTCAACCTGCTCGAAGTCACCTGCAAGCACTAGCCTCCCGGAGCCACCAGCGTTGCAACACCGCCGACATCGCAGTCGTGCCAGAACTCTTTTCGACTTCTCGCATCCGATCGTCGGGGACGCAACGCTGCCGGTTATCACACGTATGCCTTCACCTGTT